CCATCCATTTAACCATCCATTCATCCATTTAACCATCCATCCATCCAATCTTGTATTTACCTCCTTCCATCACCATTTGAGAGGCGGGGAACACTTTGGACATGTATTCAGTCCATCTAACGGCTTATAAACCTAATGTTTGTAAACCCATTGCTACCTAAAGTACTCTACAAAATAAAATCTGGATTTAAGAAAGACTAAATTAAGAATAACCTCCTGAAACTCTGACCACATACTGCATGCTAACACAAGCTTCTCTGCATCTTAAGTTTTTATTTATTTTATTTAATGTTGACCTGTTGGGACCTATTCAGGCACTTGTTTTTAATTATTTAATTTGATTTACTGGTTGTTTTAAAACACTGTTTTTTTCATACGAGGGCTTACTACTACAAAAAATGGCTGGAGAATTTATCAATTTGTATTTTTCTTTCTCTGCTCGTAAATATTGTTTTAACAATGATTTAAAATTTTTTAAATAATCCAAGCAATAAATTAACTGTAAACACACAACCATGATTTAAACCACATTGTGTTCCAGCAAATTCACTGCTGTAAATCACAGTCTGATTCAAGAATTACATTATATGCTCCTAAATATTACAAATATACTTTGGGATTAGAAAAAGTATTCTGAAGAACAATATGCAAATATATTTTCTGACGGAGTAATAATCTACCAGATGTTGAACGTTTGAGGTTATTATGTTTTTAGTTACAAATTCAAGCCACTAAAAAAAGAAGTGCAGTTACAAAAGAAGTGAAACTGATATTTGGAGTGTAGAAAAGAGCTGTTCACATTTTGCAAAGACTGAATAAGCACATTTAGTTTTTTTTTAGATAAGGTAACTACAGGGATTTTATCCAGCTCAACAACAGAAGAGATTAGATTATACGTTATACCCAATAACACAGGATACTGAGTCCAACAAAGTAGGGTAAACAGCACATAACTAAATGAAATAAATCCTAATAAGAAAAACGTATTGGCCTTAAAAAGAAGACCTATATCAGTTTTTTTTTAAATCCTGGAAACAACTTGTCTGTATGGTTTACCTAAAATCACAAACAAGGTGTACCTTTAAGACCGATTGTTAGCATGACTAACTCTGTCACTGACTATGTTTCCAAATATCTGGTGTCAGCTCAGAACACCATGGACTTTGTGGATAAGGTGAGGGATGTCATCATGGAGACTGATGAAACAATGGTCTCTTTTGATGTCACATCACTCTTTACGTGCATTCCTGTTGATGATGCAGTAGAGGTGGTCAGTTTAAAATTAAAATCAGACACCACTCTGAGCAGCAGGACCACGCTTTCCACAGAACAACTGTGTCAACTCTTGAAACTGTGCTACTTCACGTATGGGGAGCAATATTATAGGCAGAAACATGGGTGCGCTATGGGGTCTCCAGTTTCTATTGTTGCCAACCTGTGCCTTGGTGTCCTTTTCAGGGACGGCACCAAGTCATTGGTTCAGGTATGTTGATAACAATGAGAAGATGTAAAAAAATGGCAGGTTGGCTTTCTTGGACTGTGAGGTCTCAGTTTCTGATGGAGGACATTTGCAAACCGAGGTGTACCGCAAACCCACCCACACAGACCAGTATTTGCAGTTTGACTCCCATCATCCTCTGGAGCACGTTAGGAGTCATCAGGACTCTGTACCACAGAGCGGACGGCGTCCACTAACTCAGGAGCCAGGCAGAAGGAGAAATCCCACACAAGACAGGCTCTAGAGCAATGTGGATATTCTAACTGGGCCTTCCTGAAAGCAGAGAAGAAACCCAAACAGGACTCCAGCCAGCCATCAGGTGAAAAGGAGGAACCCAGACCAGTGGTCATTCCGTATTTTGTGGGACTTTCAGAGAAACTGAGATGAATATTTTCTAAACATGACCTCCCAGTGGCTTTCACACCCCAAAATGCATTGCGACAAAGACTGGTCCATCCCAAAGATCCAGTTCCCCGGCACAAACAGAGTAATATTGTATATGCTGTTCAGTGTCAGGAGGGCTGTGATCAGTCTTACATCGGGGAAACTAAACAGCCACTGGCCAAAAGCATGGCCCAGCACAGAAGATCAACAACATCGGCGGGGACTCTGCAGTTTATACTCATCTAGAGCCAAAGTCACTCTTTCATGGATGAAGATGTTCACATTGATAGAGAGGAACGATGATTTGAGAGAGAAGTAAAGGAAGTCATCTTTGTGAAAAGAAACTGTCCATAATTAAACAGGGGTGGAGGCCTCCGTGTCCAACTGTCCCCCTCTTACAATGCTGTATGTCAGCATTTACATCATAATACGTCAATATTTGTAAAATTCTCAAAGTTATAGTCATTTTTGTGTCTCCTAATGGAAGTTGTTAGATTGGTTCCAGAAAGTTACGACTTGAAGATAAGACTTTTTTCATTCAACCTTTATTTATACAGGTTAGTCTCACTGAGCCATGAGGACTCTTCTACAGGAGAGACCTCTTTTAGACAGACAACATATAAAGTACAATAAAATTGTAAAAAAAAAAAAAAAAGACAGACAGTACATCTCATGATTATTTGCTGAAAGTTGCATGAAGGTTTCTTGTGGTTCATGACAGATTGTTTTGTTAACATACACAGGCAGTGGTAGGCGATAATGAAGCTCTGAGTGTTACTAAGCAAACGAGTCATTTGTTTCTTGCTATTACTCATACAAATAGCCAAGTACCAAACACAAGATAAGGATCAACACAAATGAGACAACGAGAGCCATCAAGTCCTCTGGCATATTTAAAGCAAGAGGCAAAACAAAGAAGTGGTGATTCTGTAGGTGAGAAAATAAACCACAGAGGGAGCAGAAACCAGGACTAACGTCTGGAATGCTTTTACCTTCCTGCGTCTTCAACCATTCATAACGGACAGGTGAATCCATTATGACTAAAGTCCTTTCAGGAGTTTTTCAGCGGAGCAACATTTTTCCTTTTTTGTTTGTTCCTGCGAAAAAAGAAAACCCAAAAGCTGTCTCTGGTCAACCTGGTGTCAATATGTTGGAGTTTGGTTTTTCAAAGGGCAACCAAAGGTATGCATGTTTTAAAAGTTTTTTTTTCTTCTTCTCTCCTTTAAGAAAGAAGTTTATTAAAAGAAAAGAACAAAGGGTTTGTGCAAGTTTAAACTTTAATCTGAAAAACTTGAACTTCTTAAGTTCTTTTAAAGTTATACACTGCATGGCCAAAAAAAAAGTCACACACTAATATTTTGTTG